TGCCAAAAACGTGACCGAAAAGGCAGCGTCCGGAAGGCTTCTAAAACAATCGTGAAAAGAACGTGGCCCGCCGAGACGCCGCCCCAAACCAACGTGGACCAAACCTGGCCCTCCCCCAGAGCCATGCCTCAATCTTGTCTGATCACACCCTTCGGCCAGTCGCTGCAATAATGTTTCTGATGTTACTTGAGAGCAGTACATCGTTGGATCTCGAATCAAAGTTCCCTACATTCTCACCGTTACGCCATGCAGTCTCATTCGGTCGTGCGTTGTATGAGCTTATTGCAGGGTGGTTTTCTGTTTGCTGCCACTGTTGTAAGTTTCCGACTGGTGTTCTTGCGTTTCTTTTGTGCTGTTGCTTCTGTTGTGGTTCTCCGAGTACGTTTTGTTTGTGGGCCGTCACCTTTTTGTTACGTTTTGTTTGTGGGCCGTCACCTTTTTTGTGCGTTTTTGTTTTTTCACTGTTGTTCCACGTTTGTTTGTGTGTTGTGACTGTGCCGTTACGTTTGTTTTACGTTTGCATTCACGTTTTTTCCACGTTTTGTTCATATCCCAACATCCCAAGAGGAGATAGGATGCGGACGACATAAGACTAATAAGTGTCAGGGTCGCGTCATGTCGCGTCACTATTAATCAAGACTGATTTTTTGCGCGCGTAAAACTGTGGGTGTTTGCACGATAAAGACTGCACTGCAAAAACCTGATGAATACACAGCCTACGCAGCTATTCCGAACGAAAGGGGAGAGTGGACTTTTGGGTTGTTTGTCGTTAATTTTGTTTAGCGCACTGCGTGGCGCGTGCAGGAAGGAGGGAAGGGAGGCAGCAAGGAAGCAAAGAAAGGAGGGAAGGAAGAAGGGTTGGAAGGAAGGCAGCAAGATAAGAAGGAACAACACCGAAATTCAAGAACCTCAACGACATTGTAAACAATAAATTGTCAACATAAAGATAAGCCTGCACAAAAGTACAAACCTATAGATATGAATATAATGTTCATATACATGTATATGTACAGTTAGTTATGTACTTCTAGATGGACAGATAGATACGTAGAGAAACAACGACATGTAGTAGAGAGTAGATAGCAAAGATAGTGTAGTATGCTGTAGTATTTACCTACATGTATATATATATATAGATATATATATATATACATATATATATATACACATATTCATACAGTAAACACGTGCACGTGTGTATATATATATATATATGTACATATATATATATATAT